GGTGTTTATCATTCCCGGGATTTTCCCGTAAATTGGTCGGGGACAGCCCTGCGGGGCCAGGGCGGGTTGGGCTGCGCCATTGGTGGTATAGCCACCCCGACCCGCCAGCCCTGCTCCCCCACCCTGTCATCAGACATCGAGTTATGGCCCCTGGACGCCCGGATGGCACCAGCCAGCGCGCCCCTTCCTATAACCAGGGGCCTAACCACTGCTCACGGTCGTTGGTGGGGACACGCTCCAAAAGATAAAGAAATGGATGAGGAAATGGGCGAATCAAGGGAATGCTATGGGCGAGTCAAAGAGAAGACAAGGGGAGGCAACGACCCCCAAGGACGGGGTCAGTGTGGGCAGCGGACGTCTGTCTGTTGGAGACTTGGGCCCCTCCTCCCTCCTCACCCGCGCGGCCGCCGGCTGGGTGACGACGCGTCGCGCGGTGTCTGCTGGGTTGGGGTGGACAGAATTCCACGCAACCTCCCTTCACAACCACCCCCACACTCGCATCGCATCCCCCTGCTCACTTCTCAAACAAACTTTACTCCCCCCTTACTTAAATAATTACATCTATCTACCAAAAATATACAATTAAAAATGAAGAATGAATCACAGCTTTTGAGAGAAATCATATGTAGATTGTAGAACACACATCTCTGCTATTTTTACAATAAGTCAGAGAAATTGCTTCCAACCCAACAAACAAAGATAGGGAATAAATATGAAATAACTGCTCTAGTGATGGACATTTCTTGATGGCCACTCCCACCAGCAGTGGTGTTAGATCTTGTAGCTACAACTCCATCATCGAGAGCATTTGTTTCTAAACCACTTGAAGGATGCAAGTTGTTATCTTCAGTGTTGTGTGTGGGATATGACGGCTGGTGAACATCTTCCACTACAGTTCCCTTCTCAGCAGGTGAAACATTTCCATTTAATTCAGGAACTGAGCCAAAGTTCAAGTCATCATGATTATGAGGGGGTGCAGAACCAGATCCTTCGTGTCTCACGTCATCATCCTCGCTCCCTATGCCATCACCAGACCCACTGCCAGATCCATTTAAGCTTTCATCTGGAAGAAGTAGAAAAGTAAGTAAGTATCAACTGAATATGAAACATTTTGAATATTAGTTTCAGCACTGTAGCAACTTACCGTTTTCATTGTCTAGCCACTGCACATCCCTTCCATTATAAGCAGCATTCAAATTACTGGTAAGGGTACGGAGATGAAACAGTTGTTCATTTAACAATGAAGAAGGCTTTTGATCAACGGCCACCTCAGGATTAGAGCGTTGGTTATTCATGCCATTGCCTGTGATCTGGAGCTCATATCTGGCTTTCATAGCTCCATTCCAACAATTGTCATCTGAGTCAGGTTTGGATGATGCCTTGTCGTTGCAGATTTGGTATGGTAAATTAGACCAGAAATTTTGTGTATCCATGATCTGTTTTCAGAAAGAAAGTGTTAATGATGTTTGGGTAGCATCAACATCTAAATATAATAAATAAAAAAAAAGCGTGTCCCCACCTTTTGGCGAATGTCCTTAATGATCTTTTCCAGAGTAGGACCTTGAGTTTGACCAGGATCAGCATTAGCCGTGGATCCTCGATAGTTGTCTCTGTGAGGCCCAAACTTCAGGCTTTCAAAATTAAGTTCCCTGTGGTTGTCACGCTTAGAACGGGTGTCCCTTCGTTTGCGACTACCTTGCAAAGTAGGTCTTCCACAGCCACTAAACACCTAAAACCCAGAAAAGACAAAGGGTAAATATTGGTCTGAAGAATTATGGTGGATGATCAGATATCAAATGATCAGAAAAATTCCCTAAATACCTTTTCTGACACTTGAGGTCCATCTTCCTGGAAATTCATGATGGCTTCAGAAATTTTTATGTCAATAGGTTCAACCACCTTCTGAATGTTGAATGGGTTCAGCAGTCGGTCAATCACACGGCCAATTTCCTCTGGAAAGAGAAAGATCATTTTAATTTAGTAAATTTTAAAATACCTCTGTAGATTTACAATGCAGATTTGAGCCAGAAACTTACTGATGAATTTGTTCCACTCTACATCTAATTCTGCCTGGTAGGCAAGGCATCCCTTCATTACATTGATACAATAGTTGGAGCAGGCCTTGAGCTCAGGGAGCCCCTGACAAGCAGGGCAGTATGTCATTTTCATTACAGCTCGTGCACAGTCTGGGCTGGTGTCAATCTGAAAAAAACACAGCAAATTAATTAAATAAATCCAATACAATTGAATCAAAAAAAAAGAAAAGACAAGAAAAGAAAAAAGGGAATACTTACGTTAGCCATTTTAGTGATAATTTCTGAAGCACGACTAAGACTTTGGGAGAAGGTCCGAGTGGCAACAAAAGACCGCTTCAATTGATTAGTGAGCTTGTTGGGTACTTCTCCAAATGGTTTGAGATCTTTCATGTGATCACCAACACAAGCCAAATATCTACAAAAAGAAAAGGAAGAAGGAAATAGTTAGAAGGTTTGAAATAACACAATAAACATAATGTTGACTGGGTGCAACAGAGCAATTTACGTACTTGTCATCAAAATGATACTGCTGGTTTAAAACAGTAAACATCTTCTGATAAAGAGTGTTGAAAAATGTGTCTAGAGCATCCTCTAAATCAACACCTCCTTTTGCATAGTAGCGTTCCAGCTGATCAAACAAATCCGTGAAGACATACGAGTGCTGTTCATAGATCATGCCATATGTCCTCTTGAACATGTCATGGAACTCTCGCTTTGAATTTGCAAGCATTTCATTGAAGTAATCTGCAACATTAACACAAAGTCATTAAATTATTGTAAAGATTAAAAACAGGCAACAAAAAAGTTGAGAAGAATTTTATATTTTTAACTCACCATCAAACTTGTTGGCTCTAGTTTTGAAGAGGGTCGCCATCTTCGCGAGGGCGTCCTTGACAGCCTTGTCGTACTCCACCTTGCTCTGCTCCTTCAACTGCACCTCCATCTGCTCCGTGCAGCACGTCATGCCTTGGGCGCATACGCGCAGGTGGGTCCCTGCAACACAGACAACAATAGGGAACGTCAGCCAGACCATGGAAAGGAAGGACCAGAGAGGTGGTGCGCAGAGTATGGGCTGCCCCTGTGCGTGTGAGACCGCCACCCCGCTCCGCCCCGCTCAGCAGCTCCTACCCCTATCTCCCAGACCAGCTGGCCATCCGATAGAATCCCGCCACCAGTGTTCTGCAATTACCTTTCTTTTCTCGGAACAAAAAAATCAAGAACAAAAAAAA